TGGTTGGTGGGGAGTTTATAGCAGGTCCTGAGGACTGGGTTTGGTGCAGACTGAAGGTGTGTAACCCTCCTGTGACAAAGCCCTCTTTGAAAGGCAGGGAGAAGGGAGGAACAGGCAGGTGCTGCTTATGTAAGAGTTAATATATATAAATTATCCTATTCAAGCGTATGGCAAATGAAGAAGCATTGTGCAGTAGTGGCAAAGGGTTTATGTTCACACGAAATGCGGCAGCAGTTCCCTAGGAGAAGGAAGGTCCCGTCTTCATTAGTTTCTTATGGCTTGTGGCCTTCACTCAGTAGATGGCTTGCTGTGATTTATGTTTTGGTAGCACAGTGACCAGGAGCCCTGTGAACTGACCAGGAGCCCTCTGTACATCGCTTAGCAAAAACCAGAGCAAGGCAAGCCTGTTTCAAAGACCTCACAATCCAGCTACTTGACTCATTGTACAGCCACACCTGTACAATTGGGGACCAGCTTTCCCCTCTTTCCCCTGTGTACTCAAGCTGCTGAGATTTGCTAACAAATTTGTAAGCTAATTCAGAGAGTAGGGTGTGCTTAGAGTCAAGCAGGCAGCCTGTGCCATCTGGGAAAGGATTGGGTACAGCTGAGAGTATTTATGTTGAACAACTATTAAAAGGAGTGGTCCCTCCTAGGACGACATAGGAAGAGTTGAAGGAGATGAACTGTTTGTGGCATGCCTGTTAAGGACTCTGGGTTGGAAAGACTTACTGGGACTCATGCTGGTTGTTCTGGGCTTCTACATCAGGTATGTGTGCATGTGGTGATTTGGGGAAGAGACTGCTCAGACTGCAGTGTTATTAGTGCTTAAGATAAGCTACAGATCTCAGACTAATCTCTGTGCTTTTGTTAAGCTGAGGGGCTTGATCTGCTTGAAATAGCTGAAATAGAAATGGATAAGAGGTTAGGAGCTTGAGTTCAGTATGTGCATCATGTTTTGCTTATGCAGAAAGCTTGGCATCAAGCGTTCATCAAAACTGCACTAGGCCAATTTACCAATTTGGGTGTGGGGGAGAAATTCCGTACTCTGTGTTTTTGATCTCCACGCTGTATTAGTGAATCAGATGCTTACATTCCTCAAAATATAGCATGTTGCTTACCCTATGATCTGATGATGAGAGACACCTCAGAAATGGAAGGAAAAGAAGCAATAGGGGTTGTTTAGAGAGTTTCTGTGCTATTTGAGAGCGAGGATTATTTTTGTCACTTTCTCTGTTCCGTGGTGGCAGATTTAAGATCTGGGTTGTTAAAGATGTTCTCTTACTACTACTACTTAAGCTCCTGATCTTGAAATTCACTGTGATTTCATGACACATTAATCTGCGTGTGTCTTTGATGACTAGCATATTCAAAGACAATTACATGCATTAAAATGGCAATTAGGTGTTGTAAAATGTTTCCCTGTGCTCCGTAAGTAAGGGGTGCCTGGTGTCTTCTGTAATGCCTAAATCGGAAAGTCAAAAATTGATGTGCGTGGCTTGAATCTCTACGTAGACACGAAACAGCAGTATCTAACTGTTCAGGAGAGAAAATGGGCGATGGGAGACACAGCAGAACATCTTGGCAGAAGTGCCAAGACGTTGTCTGTTGCTCTCAAGGGGTCAAATGCAACTATGCTTAAACCATTGCTTTTAAATACACCCATGTGTCCCAGTGATTCACCGCAAGTGTGTGTTCTGGATGCCTTTTCCAGGATGGTTCTGTGAACCTTAAGTGAAGGAATAACTCTGTCTCTGACAGATGCCAAAACATTGCTGAACTGATACGTTAAGAAAGCTGACTTACCCTACGCAGAATTAATAGATTCCTATGGGAATGCATCTTAGGCAGGTTATGGATTATTTTTGTTGTTGTTGTTGCTGTTGTTTTGGAAGATGGAGCATTCCCAGAAGTATTTTTAGAAGTGGCCTAAAAAAAAAAATCAGCTCCCTTTTTCTTATTAACAATCCTCCTGGTGAGCTAACACATCAAGCAGGTCCTGTTTGTACCCTGCTGAGATTACTGACTCTGCTGAAGTCTGTGTTGGAGTATTTCCCATGGAGGTCCTTGCAATCCCTAAAGCAAATATGATGCTGCACTAAAACACTGGAAGAGGAGAGAGAAAGAACATATATTGCAAACAGTATCTTTTCGTGAGGATTTGCTTGAGAGATCTAAATGGAATCTTGAAAGCAAAGACAGAGCTTCCATACCTCTGGCAGAAGACCTAAGCCTATTGTTAAATTTGGCAGCACAACTCCCTCTGCGTTCCATCCCGAGGCTAAGCTTGCTGCTGATGGAAATGCATCAAGGGAAGGCAGTGACCAGGAATAAAGTGTAGCATCAGTGAGCGTGACTTGTACCTTATCTTCCTTTCACTTTTTCTTCAGTCAGCTCAGTGTTTTCAGAAACAAAGAGTGGGCAACCACCTGCAACACCCTAGCATACAAATGAAGAATGAGATCTGCAGGAACTACTGCCCTAGGACAGTGGGAGTGCCAACATCACACAAAGGCTTGGCATTTTGATGGTACTGTTGAGGAATGTATACCTATAGAGATTGCATCAGTGGTACCTACTACTGCAGGCAAACAAAATCTGTGTCTTCATTAGAAGAGTCTGGCTATAATGAAAAAGCTGGTGGGGCGGAGGAGAGGATATGGTTTGCTTTTTGAGCTGGGATGCCAGTTTTGCAAGGATTTGATGCCAGCTACCATTCAGTTTGTTCTTGGAAGACATTCAGTGAACTGCTGGTTGCTTGGACGGAGACTGAAACACACTGTAGTGTCAGTTCTGAAATCTAAAATACTTCCACTTTACCTCTTCTACTTAGTGCTTCAGCATGCAAAATTGGACACTGGTGAACTGAGATGAACTGGTTCAGTGGTTAGACTGTCCCTTCCCATGAATGGCTATAATGCTTACCTGTGGCTAAGCAGATTCTGCTTGTGAAAAGACCTCACAACCTACTGTTCCTAGGATACACACCTCCTAGCATTTTAGCTAAAAGGGAATTTCAGCTAGCTGTACAAGGAGATTAACACTAAGAGGATATGTAGGCTGCTGCCATGGGAAGAAGCTTGCCATCCCTTGAGCACTTCTGACATAAAGCCCGCTAAAAATCTCTCTAAATGAGAAGAAAACGGTCCGAGTACTTTGTGTCTAGATGGCAAATGGAAAATGCCACAAATTCACATGTTTCTGAAGCAAGAGTCTGTATTCTTGCTAGGAGCAGAACTCCTTCCTGCTGCTGCTCTTGGATAAATCCTTTTCTTTGCTTTTTCTTTACTTTGATAGAAGGCTCCAGGCTAAAGACATGCTGTTCCCTTGAAAGATGGTGTCAGTATATTCATTCTGGTGCTAATGAAAGGACATTCTGGCACATGTTCTGGAATCTTGAACAGTCCTTATCTCTCAGTTTATTAGTTTGACAGCAGAGCCACAGTCAGGATACATTCTGGGGCAGTTATTTTCCTTGGGTAAACCCTCAAGGTGTCAGGCTGCAGGGCAATCTGCTGGGCACTTGTAAAACAATCATACATTGATCACAGTGCGGTGTGATTGCTAATGATGAAAGTGGTAATATCTAGTCATGGCCATATAGTAATTGCAGTTGGAATTGCTGCTGGGTAACAAATCAGCCCTATGGCAATCTGGCCATGTGAAGTCCATTAAAGTTAGTGTGAGTCCTGGGCAAGGTATCAAAATGGGATGTGTATCTGACCGATGAAGCAGTTTGAGACTAATTTGACTGACAGATATACACACTATGTAGATAATATTTTGGTCCCTAATACAGCAACTACAGAAATCACATTCCTTCATATTTTTGCAGCTTAAAAAATTTGGCTGACTAGACTATGCTGTCATTCACATTTTAAACTCTTAAGAATAATTTGTTCTCCTGCCATAAAATGAAAGGACATAAAATCTTGCCTTGTGGAGTTAAAACGGTCATGTATACCTTTACAACAAAGGATGCTCTGCAGTTCTGTAATTAATTAATGCCACTACCTGTGGATGGAGAGACATATCTCTGTTCTTGATTCAGGTATGAGGCTAGTCCTCAGGTAGTCAGAGATCGTTTCCTGGTCGTTGTGCAGATGCCAGGCATGGCTTTGGCAAGTTTCTTGTTTTAGTAAATTATATTCCTATATGTCACAGGTGGATGGTAATTCTTCCTTCTCCATACCCTTTGCTTTTGACTATTAAAAGCAGGAAGTTCCGTAGGGTGGGGATATTTTCTTTCAAAGTATTAATACAAATATATACCTTATTCAGTACTTTTCAAAGTAGGCTTTGTGTATCTTACTGGGCTGTGGGGGAGTCATGTTAGCATTTAGAGCTATAAGCCCACCAGAAAGCAAGTTGCACCCAGAAAAGCTTGGGAAGACCTGCTCTTGGTGCTACTGTATATCTAAATGTAGTTATTAATGGGTAAAAAAAGTCCTCTAGAACCTCTTTAGAAATGTTTTTGTTTTCCTTCTTGTGTCTACAGTAGCTTTGTAGCCAACAAAATGACCCTTCTTCCACTTTTTTTTGGGCAAATGCCAGGAAATGAACCCATTCAGCCAAATATTTCTCTCAACCTCATGCATTTTGGACTTAAGCATTGGTGCGTCAGCTGCTCTTCTGTGAGTGGTCTTGGCAGGGAGTTTTGGTTGACAAGAGAAGTGAGGAGATTCTTGTTGGGATGACAGGCTGGAAGATCAAGTGCAAACTGGGTGTCCCTGCTAAGCTCTTCTGGCATTTTTAAAAAACAGAAATCTAAAGCTCAAAAGGAAGTTTTAAATTTGCAGTCAAATTTTTGCATGTTCCTGGGTAATGAAATAGCAGAATCTCAGCTGAGCTGGCATCCCAGTCCTAAGCCTTTCCTTTGCGGGGTAAGGCTCTGGACTAGGTGTGACCAGTCTTCCTGGTCTCATATTCTCAGCAAAGAAACTTTTCTTGAACTGCTCAACAGCAACATATGGTTCATGAAACAGATTTTCTGAGTGTCACTGCCATTCGCAGAGCAGGAGACAACGCTAGATGTGTAGTCAGAAGGATCAAACTTGTTTCTGAGGGGAGAACAGAAACTCATCTGGGCATCCTACCTTCCAAATCTGTACTTCATGTGAAGTGCTTTTGTAGAGTCATTTTTAAAACTATTCCAGTTGTAAAGGGCCAGATTCCTCTATCTCGGTCTGCACTGAGTAGTACCCTACATGCAAAGTAAGGTGCTGCACAATTTCCCTCTGTGTGCTGTACCCACTGAGCTTGGGTAGGAGTGGGCTCGGGTCCTAGGGAGCAGCTTTCACCATGAGCTGACAAGGTTTTTCAGCTTTGATTTTTACAAATGCAAGGATGTGTGCCAGGGAAAATAGTAGACATCTGAAGGATTAGGCCCCAAGTAAGGATGCATGAACAAGTGCTAGGCGGCTCTGGTGGCTCAATTAAGCATTCTTCATCTCACTCTTTTCTCCCCACGTGCATGAAAGGCTGATTTATTTGAAATTAAATCCATGAAGTGTGCTAATACCTGCTCTGGTGTTGATCAGGCTTAATGTAATAACCTCCTCTCATTTTTGCTGATTCTGTTGAGCAATCTGACGCACTTAAAACTTTTCTTCTCGTGAATAGCTAGTATTAGCCTCCAGAGGCCTTTCTGTTAAAAATAAACCCACCACCAAACTGCCTGAAACAGGAGCTAGGGAATATTTTCCTGTCCCGTTGGGCATGATCAGATAGCCCATATTAGAGGGAGACTCTTGAAAATAAATAACTGTATGTTGAAAGAGAGAGGATATTTATATTATGGGCAGACCCTGGGGGGTATAAATCAGTACAGCTCCAACAGCTCCATCACAGAGAGCTTCGAGGAACTGTGAAGCTGATCATTGCTGGAAGGTCAGATCCTTTCCTAGCTCAAGGAGGAGCCCAAGGAGACTTTTTCTTCCCACCCAATCTTGCAGCTGGATTCCAGCTGTCCCTCCACATGGCACATACAGTACATGAGGGTGTAATTATAGCATAATGCCATTCCACGTCTGAGGCTGCCACTCTGGATAATGAGCAATTGGGTGGCAACAGAGAGAGAAAGGGAGCCCAGGGAGAGGAGTGGGAATAGGGAGCTTCTTAAATGCTGTGGGAGAAGATACTGTCTCAGCACTCACCGTCAGCTCGAGGGCTTCGTTCAGGAGGCCGTTGCGCTTGCTGTGGAGGTAAGCGTTGGAGCTGCCTGTTTTGGCCACTCGAATCCTTGCAAGCCGGGCTTTCTGTGAAGAAGGCAAACAAGCTGAAGTTATACCTTGGCACGCCAAATGATAGGTCCTGTGCTGGCAATACCAGGAGGAAGGAAATTCTGGGTTCCCCTTGTACCTGAAAAAGCCTGGGGGTGAAATACAAGGGGTGTGTGGACAGGACAAGGTGCTGCTGAGAACAGCTAGCGCAGGAGTCAGATGAGTACATCTGTCTGAAGAACATCATCTGCCACAGCGTTAATGGCCTTTCCAGAGGCAAGAAATGGGGTCCTGCAGGTTTGTTTATCCTTTCAAAAGTTAATAGTCATTTCTTGGGGGTGAGATGCGCAGCAGCTAGAGACGCTTGTTTTGGACATGTTCCTGGCATAGGAGCACTGTATGACTGTGTGTGATCTAGCAGCGTGTACATGCTGTGCATGTGTGTTGCTTTCATGGCTTACCTTCTCTCTAACATGCTTGGCTGTTTAATCCTCTCTTTCTTTCAGCAATGTGCTCTGACATCTGTGTTGTCACTTGCTGTGCTTGTACTGCAGCTAGCACGGTGACACCCGGTGCTCAGTGGTGGTGGAGATGCTGCTGCAGTACAGGTGACTAGTAACAGGCGTTCAGAGGGAGGAGAGCTGAGAGGGAGTTTTGGTAACTTGCTCCACTTACCAGGCAAGTAGCATAGGCTGTTAATTTAATATTGGGAAATACTAATGAAAAAGTCTACATTCATAATCCTCCAGTGGGGAGAGGCATCATATTTGTTCCTTCCATCCTCTGCAGTGGCAGCACTGGTTTATCGGCTTTGGTGTCTGATAATACAAGACTCTATCCAAAAAATATGCATCTCCTGACAAACTGACAGAATTCACTCTGCAACAGCACAGATCTTCAGCTCTTCTCATTTTTTATTTATCCCTGACCTCCTTGACCTCCAGGTGGACAAGTTAAATGGTAAAAACCAGTCCAGAATAAAGCAAGCTAGAAAAACTAACAAGGCCCTCTTCCTTTTTAATCACACAATTTGTAGTATTTCAGTGTTTCTTTTCAATTGTTGCCTGCTTCTCTGTCAAGTGCTGATTTGCCTTTTTCTTTTCTGCTGTTAATTTATGACTCAAACACCATTAAAAGTAAATAAATGAAATAGCTGTGGCTATTAAAAAATAATTACATTGTGCTGTATTTTAAAATGCTGCATAATCTTTTAAATAACATGGAACTCGTGATTTTCCTTTCTAATTAGAGGTTCTAATGGGTATACACTGTAGGAAGAGTGAAGCCAAGAGGCAAATATCTGCAGTGGGTCCAGAGAGTGTAATAATTCCAGGAGCTCTATTACCGTACATGCGTGAGTGACTCTGACCCTCAATATTTGAAAGATTTGTTTAACCTTAAGAGCTTCTGCTTAAGCAGACAATTTCTCAGGCAAAGACATGTACAGGATACTAGTTTGCAGCTTTAATTAGGTGACACAGACTCTGACCAGTCTGAAAAATAGGTCGTCTTTTGACACCCCAAAATGGGGACATACAAAATTGACTTCTTTTCTATACTTCACCTAGATTTCATTGTCCCATTTTAATGTTAAGACTCCAAGTCAGTATATGAGAGTGATATCTCTGATAAAACTTACTCTGTACTGGGGCTGAGGTACCTCACGGGGTTATCTGGTCACCCTGTGGCAGGGGCATGGTTGTATTTGCAAGATGTAGACTGAGGATACAAGAAGAAAATGGAATTGGATCTTCAGTGTTTCTGAAGACTTTCCCAAAGTGCTGTGTTGCTCCAGGCCCTGAATAAGACTAGCCTGAGACTGTAATCTGGAACAAAAATTGCAGAGGCTACTATTGTTGAAGATGTGTTATGGGGAGAGAGCAGGGCATAAGGGACTGAGGGATATTCCATTTCCCAGTTACATGGCATTGTCTCTCTGTGCTTGTTAATTACATTTCCATTAAATTATTTCTTCCATTTGCAAGTATATGACTTCCCTTACTTTTCATGATGATCTTATCACTTCCATAATCAGGATTGGATACTGGATCCAGTGGTGGTCTTTACAGTGAGGCTCTGATGGCAAGCACAGAAGACTTCCATTTCTTTCTGTGCTTGACAAAGTATCTCCTTTGCTGAAGGAATTACCAGAGTCCCCCAACTTACTTACCTCACCCATAGCAGGAAAGGTTTCATCCTCTCTTCAGTTCAGTCAATTGCTAAAGTGGATTCAGTCTTGGGCTCTTGTAACGAACATTATTCCCTTTGCCTCCAGGCTAGCAGGGGATCAAATATTAATAGCTGTACTCCATGTGGACTGGAGATGGTTCGTTTCTGAGGTCTGTTCTCTTCTCTTCTTTGAAACAGGGCTACTAGCTATCTAAATAATTAAGCCCCATAGCTTTTGTAGTTTAGAACAGAGATTATTTTAAAAAATGTGAGTGGGGCAGAAGTTAATCCTATTGTCCTTAACACAAAAAGATGTCTAGGATAGTCACACTGCCTAACTCTGTGCCCCCATCATGATCAAATTTGGTAGATATCTTGATTAACTCGGCTAGAGAAGTTAATTAAAATTGGTGCCTAAAATTGGTTTGGCCCTCCGTACAGTTTCCCACATTGGACTAGAAACAACTCTAAAACCACAGTTCCTGTTTTTATGTGAAAGTCTGTGTGTAAATGTGCATTATTTGGAAAGCATATCTATCAAGTGACACAAGCTTTACATGACATTTAGGTACATGTCCTATGTTTATGCGGGATGCAGTACTTTGATCATGCCTGACACTAAGAAAGGGCTTAAGTGCAGCAAAGCACTCGCCTCTGACGTCTGCAGTGGAGGTTTGACACTGGTTTATATGGCCAAAGTGGATTGAGGACGTGAAGGGCACCTGGCAGCAGTGTAAGACTGGGGTTACAGTGTGGAAGCAGGTAAAAGCTGGCTGTTCTGGAGGAGTTTGTGTTGTCTGCTGGAATGCATCAGTCTGGACTTGGCCGGCCGGTAGAGGTATGCTTTGGCAGATCAGGTGAGGAGTAAATTACAGGGGCAAGAGCCTTGAACTTAGGGTCACCCCACACAAGCTTTGAAGCAGCAGTGTTTTGCAGGGAACCATACTATGTACTGTCACATATTTTGCTATCAGGAACCTAGGGAAATAGGTTGATGGGGTCTTCCAGATTCTGCCAGGTTTTTAACACATGTGGGTATGCTTTTGTCATCCCTGTCCTGCAGAGCTCAGTACTTCTGGTCTGCAGGACAGAAGACAGATGAGTGGAGGACCATGTTTTTCTGCCATCTGCTGCAAATGTCTTTTGGGGCAGGGTGGGGAGGGATAGCTGTCTTCTGCATCTTATCCCACAAATGTGACAGACTAAGGGTCATTAGGGCCAGGCCTGAGATCACTGTTACTGAATATAACCCCTGCATGGAGAGTCTAAAAAAGGAAAAGAAAACGGCACACTGTGTCTGCATGTAGAGTGGTAAGAGGAGTTGCTAGGAAACCACAGGATCTCAAAATGCATATGACCTAATCTGGAAGATAATTTATATGATGAGAATAATAATACTAATGACAGCCACTTACAGGTTAGAATGATTAATTTGGTTATCTTGGAGCCCACGTGTTCCTGAGAGCAGGATGGAAGGCAGGTCTCGATAACTTCTGGCTCCTTACTGCTTTTTAAGAAACTGGAGACTCAATAAGCAGGAAGGGCAGTGAAGCCCTGTACACGTGGAGCGCTGAGGTGCGGTGGCGAGGATGATGTAAGTGGCTGTCCGCATCCTGGGTACCTACATTTCCCAAAGGGACTGACAAAGAAGAAAGAATAGCCTATCTTCATCTTTTAGCTGCTTTGGAGAAGTGCAAGGAGCAGGAGTTGCTGGCTAGGAAAAATGCTTTCCAGATGGCAGGCCCAGGAAATAGCTAATTATTATTTATTGAGGATTTTCATCTAGTTCTTATGGAGATAATGTTCACTCTTGATTTATGTGATATAATAAAGTATTAGGTTACAACCTATGACAGAACTTTGTATTTGCCAGACATCTTCAGCTTTCCAGATCTTCCATGCTTTTGAGCGAGGAGATGACTAGAGTACTGGTATGTCAGGTACTACGTGTACAGGTCCTGTGTCCACTCCTGCTCCCTCTTTGGACTGGAGCTGTTATTAGCATTATCCTTCACAGAATGGTTGAGGTTGGAAGGGATCTCCGGAGGTCATCTGGTCCAACCCCCCCAGCTCAAGCAGGGCAGCCTAGACCCGGTTGCCCAGGACTGTGTCCAAATGGCTTTTGAGCATCTCCAAGGATGGCAACTCCACAACCTCCCTGGGCCACCTGTGTCAGGGCTCAGTCACCCTCATACTGAAAAAGTGTTTCCTGATGTTTGGACAGAGCCTCCTGTGTTTCAGTCTGTGCCCATCACCTCTGGTCCTGTCACTGGGCACCACTGAAAAGAGCCTGGCTCCATCCTCTTTGCACCCTCCCTTCAGGTGTTTATGTACATTGATAAGATCCCTCCGAGCCTTCTCTTCTTTAGGCTAAACAGTCCCAGCTCTTGCAGCCTTTCCTCGTATGAGAGATGCTCCAGCCCATATCCTATCTAACTTTATCTGCTAAAACCATGCTAAGAGTGCTCCTGGCAGAAAATGCAGCTACACTCGATAAAAGATGTGAAGCGCTGTTAATTTCCCTAAACAATTAGTAGTTTGAATATGAGTAGAACATTGCTGACTGCTGCAGTGAGTCCAGTGGTGCAGTAGGTGTACACCACTGGTCTTTCAAGGCTGAAATGAAGCTGTTCTCAAAAGTAATCAACAGAATATTTTGATCTGATTTTTATTTCCAAGGTGAAATACCTCAGCCATTCAGTAAGTGCTCGATTTTCTTGCATTTGTCTGCATCTGTTGCTAGTTTAGGTCTGGACTTAAATTCTAGATGGAAAGAACACGGTTGATTTTAGGCTATGGAAAAAGAAAACAAGCAGATTGTACATTTAAACAGGAGTTTCTGCAGACTTAACAACGGGGCTTAGAGT